ATGTGTACTACTGTTTCATGAGAAACTATTTGTTCTGTAAGCCTTCACCTGAAGTACAATAAAATATAAATAAATAAATAAATAAAGTTGCTTTTTTTTTAATAAGCAGTCTAACATTTGCATAGTAGATAGCTTTTGAATTGTCTGTTCAACCCTCCTTCTGTAAATTTCCCCTTCCACCTATAGTATCCATAGAAGTTTAAATTATATAACCCTGTTACTTTGTTGTTAGGTGCCCTCAAGTTGGTTCTGATTCACAGTGACCTTATGTACAACATAATGAAACACTGTCCAGTCCTGCACCATCCTCACAATCATTGCTATGTTTGAGCCCATACTTGCAGTCACTGGGTCAGTCCATCTCCTTGAGGTTCTTCCTCTTTTTCTCTGACCCTCGCCTTATACTAAGCACGATGTTTTTCTCCAGGGACTGGTCCGTCCTGATAACATGTCCAAAGTACATCAGACGAAGTCTCGTCGTCCTCGATTCTAAAGAACATTCTGGCTGTACTACTTCCAAGACAGACTTGTTTGTTCTTTCGGCATTCCATGTATACTCAATATTCTTCACCAACACCATAATTCAAATGCATCAATTTTTCTTCTGTCTTCCTTATTCACTATCCAGCTTTCGCATGCATATGAGGCCATTGAAAATATCATGGCTTCCGGTCAGGTGCTCCTTAGTCCTCAAAATAATGCAAAAATCTTTGCTTTTTAACACTTTAAAGAGGTCTTTGCAGCAGATTTGCCCAATATAATATGTCGTTTGATTTCTTGACTGTTGCTTCCATGGGTTTTGATTGTGGATCCAAGTAAAATGAAATCTTTGACAACGTCCATCTTTTCCTCATTTATCATGATGTTGCTTATTGGTCTAGTTGTGAGGATTTTTGTTTTCTTTATGTTGAGGTATAATCCATACTGAAGGCCGTAGTTTTTGATCTTCATCTAAGTGCTTCAAGTCCTCTTCACTTTCAGCAAGCAAGGTTGTGTCAACTGCATAATTAGACTGTTAAGGAGTCTTCCTCCAATCCTGATGTCACATTCTTATTCATATAGTCCAGCTTCTGGGATTATTTGCACAGCATACAGATTGAATAGGTATGGTGAAACGATACAACACTGATGCACACTTTTCTTGACTTTAAACTACGCAGTATCCCCTTGTTCTGTTAGAACAACTGCCTCTTGGTCTGTGTACAGGTTCCTCATGAGCATGATTAAAAGTTCTGGAATTCCCATTCTTTGCAATGTTACTCATAATTTGTCATGATCCACACATTCAAATACCATTTCATAGTCAATAAAACACAGATAAACATCTTTCTAGTATTTCTGCTTTCAGCCAAGATCCACCTGACATCAGCAACGATACTTGTTTTCTGGACCAATTAACTCATTCCTCCTCCTCTTCTGAGTCTGGCCTGAATTTCTGGCAGTTCCCTGTTGAAGCAACCATTTTTTAATTATCTTCAGCAAAATTTTACTTGCAGCATATGATATTAATGATATTGTTTGATAATTTCCACATTCTATCATCACCTTTCTTCCGGATGGGCGCAAATATGGATTTCTTCCAGTCGGTTGACCAGGTAGCTGTATAACCCTAACTGGTTATAAGGAGCCCTGGTGGTGAATCTACTCTGTCCTATAGGGTTACTATGAGACAGAATCAACTTGATGTCACACAACAACAGCTGGTTATTTTCAGAATTGACTTGACTGTGATAGGTTTTGTTTTGTTTCATTTTTGGTATGTTTGCTTTTAAGCTGGTCATAGCCGACTGGCTAGTGCTTCTCTCTTCTGAGAGTTCAGAACTGAGATTCAGAAAAGATAGCTCTGTCTCTGATGTTTATTGAAGTAAGGACAGATAAACTCAGGAGCTATGGGTCTGTCACTGAGTATCAGATGCATGGGAAAGCAGGGAGGGAACACTCATATGAAGAAAGAAAAGAAGGAGGCAGATGTGTAGAGAAAAGTAGAGATGAAAACCCAGAAATGGAGAGCAGGAATAATGTCTAAAAGCTTTCCAGTCCCTCATACTGCTCAGCAATACTTCCTGCCATGGGATTCATGACATTCCTCTGTATCCATATAACCTCCCTCTCCCATTGTAGTCGTACTAGTTTGCCATGGGATTCAGTTTCTTGAAGCCAAAAGCTTAATCTCCAGTAATTTGTTGACACAGGAAATGTGGGGAAATTTTCTATACAACAACAACAAAATAATTAGAACCCTAGACAATAACAAAATCCAAAAGGTTTTGATATTGTGCATGAGATAAAATTTTAGAGATAGGCACTCTCCATAGAAAATTGCAATATTTATTTTGAGCAGTATCTATACCTAGGAATTACAACAGCACCTGTGGTAGATTGTATAATTTGTTGAAAATTTTCACTACTCCTCCTTATAAGGTCCCTTTCTACTGGCCCTCCCTATGAAAGGAATATAATTCCCACTCCCACTGACCTCAAGGTGGTCATGACTTGCTTTGGTCAATCCAATGTAAGTCCAAGTGGCTTGTGCCATTCCCAAGCAGAAACATTAAATACCATCTTGGACTTGCATCATGGTTTTTTTTTTCCTCTGACTACACAAGAACAACAGTGTGAGGATGTGGAGCACAGCCCTTTACATGACTATGTAAAGACAATAGTATAAAAAAAAATAAAAACCCATGGGATGACCTATGTACACGTGTAACAACTCTGTACAAGTACTCAGTGAAAAGAAATACATCTTAGATTGAGATTTGAATGATGTTGACAATTTCTTGCAAGCTATTACTTGTATAAAGATATGCCATTTACACAGATATTTCAACTGGTGATTTGAGAAATCATTCACTAGCTGGGAAAAAAAAAGTTTTTCCAAATGTGAATTATTTCTGAAACCTTCAAGACAGAATCCCAAGATTCAATTTAATCTGAATAATTAAATTTGACATATTCAAATAACTCAGAGCTCTTAAAATTAAAAAAATAAAAAGAAAATACCCTAGCTCCAATATCAGAGAAAAGTGACAAAAATCCATTACTTCCAGGGGCAAAAAAGCCAGCCATTTCCAAGGAGACTGACTTCTTACAAGAACAAATTTGCCTAAATGAGCCAGAACTTTATGATTAAACCATTACGAGAAAGCAAATCTTATGGATTTTATTCCAATTTGTCAAATAAGAAAAATTCAGATAGGTTAAATCTAAAGGAAGAGACCTAGATTTTTATATCTAAATTTGCTCAAAAACAAGTTATCAATAGAACTGAAATTTGGTATATCAATAATACATCACAGAAAAAAAGTTACTGCAATGAGTCAAATGGATAAATATCAGTTTCTGTAAAATCTCAAAACAACTTTCTCTGGTACTGTAAACTGTAAAAACAATTGAGAAATGCCTACATCTTAACATTTTAGAGGCTTGGAGAGGATGAAATACTTTTTTTTTTTTCCAAAATATATCTATTGCTTTTCTAACAGCATCAATAACCCCAAGGGGACATCTATACACATTTCTAAGTTTGAATAATAGCCAAAGTATTATATAACTAATCCACTATAATGCACTCTTCCAAAATAGAGTGTTTGGCCAATATACCTCTTCAGAGAGAGACTGTAATTGCTTCACTCCACTTTCAATGAACAA